GTTGCAAACTGCCGTTTATTTCCCTCACGCTGTCTCCAATGAACCAAACTAAGTGAAATGGAACTAAAAGTACATATCAGCACCACCAAATAAACTGGGGATGGAAATGTGAGCTCATTTGTCTCCCTCTACACAGTCATCGAAGTTCCATGAGCTGTTTCTGTCTCGTAACGAAACTGAAGAAGATCGTCGGCCATGGCCGGCAGAAATCTGTCATTCTGCCGCCCGGCAGCCGAATCACAAGAGAATGCCTATGTTTCTGTTCCTGTGCAGTCATACAGAAGTGAAGGGGAGCCAGGGTCTTTGTTTGGTCAGTCCATGGGAATGGCCTCACTCTGTTCAGCCCTCTGAGAAACCATGCTCTGAATCTATAGGCAGAAACACAAATCCCTGATATTCCCAGCAGTGGGATGATTCAGGACCAAATGACCAGAAGACCAGTTTAAGTCTTATGAAAAAAAAAATCAACTTCAGAGAGAAATGAAACTGGGTGATATTAAAGTAATTAGAAAGGAATTAAGAGAAAGCTGAGAAAATGAAGGAGAATGAGAGAGAGAGACAAGAATGAGGGTGGTGAGGACTGAAAAGAGGAGCTGGATGGTACTTTGGCAGTGTCTGTGTGTTCCCAGGAGGATTACTCCAACACTGGATGCTACAGACTGCCAGGAAGACCACAGCGAAGCATGAATGATCCCACACACATCTCTACAGACATCTCCCCCTGCTGAAGTCTGTCKGTTTCACCTGAGTCTTCACATCTCTTTTCTTCACACTTTTATTTTTCAATTCTTCGTTTTTTTCTTGTTCCCAGCCTGTTTTTACTCACTCCCACCACGTTCCTCCATGTGTGAGCTCTCTGACCAGCAGTGACAGCAGAGCTATGTCTTCACCAGCCACGGACATTTGACATRTGGCTACCTGTGTGACATTTAAGCTCCTCATGCATGGACAGAGGTCTCTAATCAGAGAAAAAGTCTTGAGAGAGAGAACCACCATTTTCTTCCTCATTAGCTTTTTTTTGTTCATTTGCTTGTTTTGCTATATGGCTCCATAAAGACAATAAAATATATTAAATTTTGTGCTTGATTTACTGAATTTTAGATACAGTCTTATATATTATACTGTGAGATCAGTCTTTTTCATTAACCAGTAAGAGAATCAACAAGTATCTATGTTAATATGTGCTTGTTCCAAAAGTAATATCACACACTCTAAAAATGAAATGTTGGATTTACTTAACCATGTTATGTGACCTGGTTCCACTTAACTGAGTTGAGTAAATTCAAAGCAACATATTCATGTTCTTTGGTTATAAAACTAGTATATTGCTTTGAATTTACTCAACTCAGTTAAGTGGAACCAGGTCACATAACATGGTTAAGTAAAACCAACATTTCATTTTTTACAGTGCAGTGTTTTTATTTTAGAATTGTAGAACTATTTTAAAAGTATGACATCATATCCGGGGTGTGACCAAGGTTTATAAAAATGTTGGAATGTCTCATGATGGGTGCCATTTTGTCCTCTTGGACGGGTTGGTCCACAGCACTGTGATCATTTTTATATGTGGGTAAATACACATCAAAGTGTGAGTAATGGACCGGTTGTCTGCACCTAATTCAAGTTCTCACGATTCGTTTCCAGGGTTTTGTATTAAAATATCCCTTTTCTCCAACTCTTACATGTCACTCCCACTCTTCCTCACACTTCTGCTACTGGAAAATCACACATTATGTGGCAATAAACAAACAGATTTTAGGTTATTTTTGTAATGAATGGCCTTTTTTGGAACTAAACACTCAAAATTAACAAGGAGTAGTGCATTGAATTTAAAATATTGGCRAATATTTTCTCAGACTGATCAAAACTCTGTTGCTAACCAACATTAAGGAAGTGATCATTTTGACAGTTTTCTGTTACATTCTTTTTTTTTCTCCATCCTTCCTTTTACCTGCTTTTTCCTTTCAGAGACACATTGCAAGAAATTGTGTACATTAGGTCTCAACGAGACACACAACCTTTTTTTATGTTCTCACTCACTCAACAGTTTAGAGTTTAACCTAACATGCAGGTTTCTGGGTCTGGAGAGGAAACCGAAGCACCTTGAGAAAAGCCGCATGGAGAGAGCATGCGAACGCCACACAGAAAAGGCCCMAAACTGGAGCCAAACCTGCAACCTTTTTTGTTGTGAGACAACCCTGACCATCCTCTTCATCAGACTGTCATAGAAMGACMAAGTGTCTTCAGTCGGAGGCWTCTTCAACTTCGCTGTAATACAGACTGCTCCAGAAGATCTTTCCTGCCCACAGCCATCAGCATCTACAATAAGTTTTTAGTTAAATGAGTTACAACAACACCTAATTTCCCTCTGGGATCAATAAAGTATTTTTGAATTGAATTTGAATTAAATTTGAATTTGAACTCTGTGATGCCTGTCTTTATATCCCCGTGTTATTTAACTGTTGTGTTCTTAAATGTCTTCYGTGCGTGCCCCACATCCTGTCAAACCTAATAGTAACGTTTAGGCTGACTTGTAACAAAACTGGAAAGAGAAACGTGACTTTTGACTTATTTTGTGACGTGAGTAATGTTGCTCCAGGGGGTGTGTCTTGCCCTTGCTTGTGTGCGCATGTTAGTTCTGGATGGCACTCATTGGTGTGTATCATGTGCACAGCATTTTAAATATCCACATGCTCAGAAACCTCTCATAATGATGCGCTACATGTCATTATATCCCACACTTTTAGTTGAGATTATAACAAAAACCAATATAAAAGGCTGTTTTTGTTCACTGTATTCTATTTTTTCTATTAGTATAATACAAGGCCATTCAACTAAACTGCTCCGGGGGCCACAGTTACTGCAGGCAAACAGCTGAGGGGCCCAACAGCCATTATGTAATTAAACCAAGTATTRCAAAGATCTGTTACCTTTGAAATAGTTTATTTTGTTGCATTTAATCATGAACACAACATACAGAACCAAACGTAGTGATAACAAAACATCAGAAACAAAAAGAACACATTAGGCCTCTGATTTGAGGCCTAATGTATTTTTTACCACAAATAATATTTTGACATCTCTGACTTGCCAAATTTTAAATCAATTTTATTTTTACTTTCATACTTTTGTCTTCAACTGTATGTAGTTTTAACTGTCTTGAGTGTTCATCAACATGGTTTATACCAGCTTGTAAACTTGTCTATGTTTAACAAAAAGAAATTATAGTATTTAAAGTAGGAAACCGGGGGTATTGGTTTAAGATATGAACAAACTAATTGGTGGGCCATATTTTGGTCACTCGCGGGCCAGATGTGGCCCGCAGGCTGCCAGTTGAATAGCCCTGGTATAGTAGATATAGGGAGCATATTAACTAAAACAAACAGTAAAAAACACAATATATAATTGGTTTTCATCTTTATAGCATTGTTATTCCATGTAAAAGAATATTTAAAATGTATATTATTATGGTTAACACAAATGATCAGATAATGAACACACATATTTGCATATTAAAAAAAAAAAACAAAAAATAAATCTACCACACATTCTGCTGCTCTTCAGCGTGTCTGAGCTTGTCTGGGATGTCTGTTGGGTTCATTCATGTAGGACAGAAAACGCACTGAGCAGAAAGCAGTTTAGCCTCGGGGAAGAACACAAAACGCATTATCTTCTTGGACACTTTGTTTCACAGACTCCCAGCAATCAGACCCCAGGCCATGCAAAGCTCCCTGCGACTATAGTGACACATTGCACATGGTCCTGGAAGCCCCTTTAAACAGGACCACCAGTGGCAGAAACCGGCTGGAACACCCATCAGGGCGCGTCAAAACTCCCAGAGACGATTTGCAGAAGCATCCACAACGCGCTCACACGACAAGCCAGAAGTCGCGCAGGAGGCAGGCAGCTGAGGGTGCCAGGAGACTGGGTTTCCATGGTGACATTGATGGGGATTGTTGGAGGAAAGAAAAAAAAAGCGCGTTTCTGTGAGCGTGTGTTTTTTGCGCGTGCGTGCGTTTTAATACAGTATGAGAACGCAAGAAAAAGGAGGAGGGCTGCGGGGATTGGCTCAAGAGGTGGGTGGCGTTACTAAGGTAAGAGGAAAGCATTCGGTTTTTTTCCACGTTTTTTTTTAAACTCAACCGAACAGAAAGAGGGAATTCCGAGGATCTCCGATGCGCACGTCAAGTTCCAAACCTTACAGAATAATGAACATGTTCGTGGACTAAAAGGCAGGTTGCACGCCTATTGTTTCTAATCAAATATGTGTAAAATCCTCTAAAAAATAAAAATGAAAACAAAACAAGCAACAATGTCAGAGCAAACCTCCAACTCAAATCTCAACTTTTTTTTTTCACTAATCACACTGTGAAGTGGAAAGAAAAAGAGCCACCCTTCATATAACTGATAAGAGAGATGCGCGCGCTTGGCTGCAGCGGGAGCTTTTAGTTTTAGATCAGAGAAAACCTTCAAACAGAAGCCAGAAACTGGACCAAAGACGAGTGGGTTTGTCTCACAGGTTGTGTCAAAAACAAATCTCATTGGCCATCAGTCATGCTGACCAACTGTCCCCTTCAWTGTGGGGTTACAGAAAAGCAATATAAAATCAAACCATCTATGAAAAAGAATGTGCATCTTTGTTTAGAATAAGAATATAATAAATGCATCTATCTGCTTTCTCATTAAAACAGGTGGAACGCTATTAAAAGCTCTGTGCTTCTGGACTTTTTTGTAGGTGTGTCTGCCATGCATGAGTGTTAACAAAACATTTATTTTTTTCAGAWACTTTAATTATATGTTTTAATTTACATTTTTAGGATATTCAGTTCTAGTCATGCGCACCTATGTGATTTCCTAACAAAAACATTTATTTACAAGTTTAACACTAAACAGAAAATCACGATTTAAGGCAACCAATTCTTCCCTCAGCTCCAGCATTCAACCGTTTGCGCGCTAAAAAAAGAGAAATGACTTAAAATAAAGGCTCACGAGCATCTTACCTTTGTTGGACACCGCGGTGAAAAAAGTTTTTTGGTCTGCAGAGTCTTCTCTCATCCGCTTCAGAGCACCAGGTGAGCCACAGCGAGCCGCAGAGCGCACAGCGGTCCGGGTCAGGAGCGCTTTACGCACCAAACAGGGGCGGGTTGTTAGTTCTTTTTTTTCTCTTTTCTTTTTTTCTTTTTCTTTTTTCTTTTATTTTTTGTATTTTTTTTTTCCTCAGGCTGTAAAATCCGAGGAGGTCCACAGCTCAACGGTCCAACTGAAATGAGCTGTGCCTCACCTCGCTCTTCGGCGCTTTACTCACCCGCACGCACCTCCTTCCGCCCACCCCAGCCTTTGTCTCTCCTGCATGGGAATGTCAGCCCCASTTGGTTAAAGATGCAGCCCATACACTAACACTGTCTCTTCATCCCTCCCTTTCCCACCAGAAAAAAGTAAAAT